AGAAATCATGAAGAGAGTGAAGAGACAATCCACAGTGTGGGAAAAAATTTTGCCAGCTGTTCCTTCGACAAAGGACTAATATCTAGAATATATGAAGAGCTCAAAAAATCAGAGTTCCCCAAATTTAAAGACTCAATCCAAAAACTGGCACCTAAAACAAATAGATGTTTCTCAGATGAGAAGTAGACATGGCGATTGATATACCAAAAAATGTTTGTCCCTGTTCATTTGAGAGATGCAAATTAAAACAATGCTGAAGATCCCATCTCACTCTAGAAAAAATGGCTATTATCAAGAAATCAACCAATAACAAATGCCAGTGGGTCTATAGGGGAAAAGGAACCCTTGTCCACTGTTGATGAGAGTGTAGAATGGTGCAACCACTGTGGAAATCAGTGTGAAGATTCCTCAAAAAATTAGCACTAGAGGTTCCATTTGACCCAGCTATTCCTCTTCTTGGTATCTTCCTGAAAGAATTAAAAGCACCCTACCACGGTGATATATGCACACCCATGTTTACAACAGCGCAGTTTGTAATAGCTAAATCTTGTAAACAGCCCACATGCCCATTAACTGATGAATGGATAAAGAAGATGCATTTTTTATACAATGGAGTACTACCCAGCCGTAAAGAAGGATAAGCTTTTCTAGGTAAACGGATGCACCTGGAGACCATGCTCTTTAAGTGAAATAAATCAGACATACATACTTAAGTAGCGCATTGTTCTTGTGGTGTGAGAAACTGCAAATATTAATAAAGACCAAAATGTATAATAGATAGTGGAAAATGGGAAGAAAATGTTCAAAAGAGAAGGGGAACAAAGGAGAGGGGAGGGAGAAAGGAAGGAAGAGACAAGAAAAAAAGATAGAAAAACAGTGAAAACAAAGCTTTTATAAATTAGGAGGGGAAGACGGGTTGAAGGGAGAAGAGGGGAGTGGTAAAAGCAAGATATATCATGTACAGTTTCCCTGTGATGAATGTGATCATTACATGTATCCAAAAAAAAAAAAAAACTCCCAAACCAGTTTCATTTTAATTAGGTCTGTGGGTAAAGTACAGCTTTTTAAGTAAAAATGAACTTTTTTACTATGTATTTTAAAAGGTGATGATGTTTGGATAACTTTTCTGAAGTCCCTCTCCCACCTCTGTCTAAACTCACACATGCAGTCATCTGAGCATTAAATTCACTTTTTTCTCCAAGGTCTCTCTTCTGCTCTTCTGTGCATAAATTCTACCCTTTTTCTTGAGAGTGGGCGCTGCCTACCCTTCCACCCTACCAGCTGGCATCTTCTCTGAGAACCAAAGCTTTGCTCCGCCTCAGACCTTTGGGAAAGGGAGATCTTAGTCCACAAAATTGGAAACATAAAAAATAATGTACCTTGCAGCAGAAACATTTGCTTTTTCTTTAATCAGATCTCATTCTTACCATTCAAAAATGTTTTTAAGAAAGTCTTATGCTGTCTGCTAGGTCATACTCTCCCCTCAGCTCCTTTTGTTACTGGTCTCAAGACACTGATGGTTTAGATTCAACTTTCTGAGGCAGCTGCAGTGGCCCTGGTGAGACGGTGGCCTTGTGTGGAGCTGTCTCACTTTTGGTCCATGTAGTCAGCCAGCCCTCTGGGGAGAAGAAGAAGCTGGCCTCCTTCTGATGATCGGCTTTCAGTTGTTTGTAATTTTCTCAAAAAATAAAAATAAATATTCCAAGGCTACAATTTTTCATGCTTGGTCTCAACCTCAGAAGTGTGTTTTGTTGTTGTTGTTTTTGGAAGGTTCCAGAAACGTCTGTTTGGAGGCGATTATTTCAGTGGGGACTCTGTATGTCAACAGGGAAACTTCACGGATATATTTTCTTTTCTTTTTTGTGTCCAAAGTATCCTTAAAAATGGCAAAGACCTAGATGTCAGTGAAGAATTCGTGGCAAAGATTCATTTTCCTTTCTCTTCGCTTTTGATTTTTTTCTTGATTTCTCATTTTTCTGAGAAAATCCATAAAAAAATAAGGTCAGGATCCAGACATACTTCACCTCGCCAAGAAAAATAACAGGCCTTACTGTTGCCTTTATTGAACTTTGAAATTGTGCCTTGCTTATCTTACAAGGAGACAATGTTACACTGCAATTAGATTCTCCAACTTGAGCCTTTCTTTAAAAAAAAAAAAAGTTAAAATTTTCATGTACCGAAATTTTTAGAACTGTCATCTTTGCAGACTAAACTCACTAGGTAATCTCATCCAGGAAATAACTCAGTTTCCGTAGCTGATAAGTAAGATATATTGTACCTTTCGTGACCCCACACAACCCTCATTTATTTTTCGGTTCTGTTTTTACATGAGTGAGACCCAGGGTCCTGCTTTGGAGTCATTAAAATGGGACCTGCGTGCGGTGCTGCTGTGGGGATGAATGAGTTCTTTCTCTTCCTTTGGCTACCTGCTTCTTCTCACTCCCCTATTCCTGCACATTCTTTTCTCCCTGTTGCTTTTAAAAGTAGGATGGTGGCTGGCAGCTGAGTGGGGTCTGTTTCCATTTTGAACCTTATAAATTACCAAGGGTGTAGAAGTAACAGGAATTGTTTGGCTTGTCCTCATTAAGCAGGACGGGGTCTGGGCTGAATTTCCTCAGTAAAACCTTTGTTGGTTTTACAACCCCAACACCTCTGTAGCCAGCCTGTGCTCACTTAAGAAATGGCCCTCTGTACCTCTTTGCTTGTTCCTTTCTTGCTTTTTGTCCCTTCTTATTCATTTTCTGTCTGTCTGTCTGTCTGCCTGTCTCCCTCTCTCTTCCTCTATTCCCTCCTTCCTTGTGCCCTTCCCTTCCTCGGTGCAGGGAGGAAACAGTTGATAGCAGTTTCCTTACGGAGCTGGGGAAACCAGGGTTTGTCACGAGCAATTTAGTTTCTTAAAACCCCATAACTGGGAGCTCACGCGTTAACATTATCTCATTGGGGAAAAATAGAGAATTAAAACAAGGATCTAGAAAAATGAGAGGACACCCAAAGTTTGCTTTTTGGTATGAACTTTGCCTAGAAACCACTATCCTACCTTCCCCTCATTCCAATTCTGTTAAACACCTACTGTGTGTAGAGCCCCAATATTTAAAATGAGACATGTCTGCTCGGTGGCTGAAAGCGCAGAGCGTTGGAAGCAGCCTAACCTGGCATTCCATCTAGGCTGAGAGTTAAGTGGCCCTGGGTAAGTTACTTAAGGTCGGGAACTCAGTTTCTTCACATGAAAATGGGAGTAGTGGTCAGCATGGTGCAGAACTGGTGGGAAGATGAGTGGCGGCACCTGGTGTGGAGAGCTGAGCGGGTCCCTGGAGCAGCAGCAGGCACTACCAGCTCTCCTGCTGCCACTGCCCCTCCCAGCCAGACTCATGTTCTTTGCAGCTTTTGTGAGCTTCACTTTGCTAGTAACTAGGAAAGTGGCCCCTTCATTTACTGGGGTGTCTGAAAAAGAGCAATCAGTCTCTTGAGAATGTTTGCTGGGCAGAGCATATGTGGCCCCTTACTCCCTCAGCAGCCAGGCGAAAGCCCGAAGGCCTTGGAAAAGTGAACAGTCCAGGAAAACCCCAAGTGCAGCCAATCGCAGAGCAAAGCTGCGAGCCCATCCTTGTCCCCTGTGTCAGCAGAATCTGACATTGAAAGACTCGGGACCCTCACAACGCTGCAGGCAGCTGGAGCTCCTTGGGCTGGCCAGCTTAGTCGAAAGCTTAACTACTTCTCTGTTTTTCAGTGGTGACTGTAAATCTTCAAAAGAATCTGTGCTTAGGTAAATTGGTCTTAAAGAATTAACATTTTGAATGTATGTCACCTTCTTAGAAATACACTATTAATATGGCCACTGCATGTATTCCATCATTGGAATGTTGCTTTCAATGTTATCAGAATTCATTCAGATGCCTTCTGTCTCATAAGGAAGGGTCCACTTTCCTGACTGACCGATGTTCTGTAAGTAGATCAGTAAAAAGCACAGAAGCAAGAGCCTGGGTTTGGGCTGTGGCAGCAGAGTGTGTGTGTTAGGATGTATGCTGGCCTATGTAATCTGACGAATTTTTCAGGAACCGCCCCTTACGGTGGGAGGCATAAAGGAGTAATACCACGGCAGGGGAGATCCGAGTGTTCTAAGCAGGCAGCAGACAGCTGAGATGTATCATCAAGCAACTGCAGGTACCGCGTAGTTTGATCCCCAAGAGAACATTGTTCTGAACAGAGATGCAACCTAGGCACTCGGCAAGAGCACAGGTTTTGTAGAAACTCCAGAATTCCCGCACCAGGGATAGAGAGAAGGGGAACCCATAAAGTTAGACTGAAATAAGCCTCTGTACCCCGAGAAGGTGAGGAGCATGGGATGAGATGCGTGACTCCTGTCTGCGTTTGTGCTTGGGGCCGTACAGGTTACAGGTAAGCTGCAGAGCCAAGGAGGGCAGGCAGGCTGATTCCAGGAATAGAAAAGAATTTGCAGGATTAGAGGAGTCGAACCGAGGTAAGGAAGATCAAAGCAGATCTTCCGTGGGGCATGAAGACTTTATGACTCATTACTGAGGAATCTCTTCATAAGGTGGGATTTAATATACATGCATGACCGCAAGCGAGACCACTTGCCACACAGTGGCTGTGGATATCAGGCATCTGGCACAGCAGCTGGAAGAATAATTTTGTCTGTTCCAGCATCTGCGCTAGGTACTCACTGCCTGTGCTCTGTACATGGCTAAGCCCCTCTCCATCTCCATATCCTGGGCAACCCCACCCACCGTCCTTGTCGCTATTGGTCCCCTCGGCAGGGCTGTAGCATCCTTATCATAACACAATCACCTTCTTGCTCCGGAGGCACCTGATGGAGAACTTCTAGCTGAGAAATGGCATGAAGGTGTCCTTTGGTCCTCCAGTGTCCGGGTCTCCACTCCTACTGCTGCCGGCAGCTGGGGCAAGGGATGAAGCCAGGGCCTTTGGCTGCTGCGGGGCATCCGGGCATCCTCACCATGGCTGTCCTGTTTTTTCTTTCACAGCAGTGTTGCAGGAGACTGTGGTATCTTTGTGAGTGACCCCGGCGGCTTATGGCAGTGGGCTTAGGACCGTCTGCGACACACCATGCTTCGTGGGACGATGAGAATGCCGCAAGCAAAGAGGCCTGAAATCGCAATCCCTTGGCTCCTCTTGGTCGCAGCAGGCTGCCTCGCTGACTTGAGTGAGTGCTCCCTCTTTCCTCGGTGGCCTCACTCAGAAGACCTCTGCCCTCACATCAGGTGGAAGCAAGAAGCAGCTTGGGATAAACTCTTTAGAAAGAGCACATCGCTGCACCAGCCTCAGGGGCATGGGAAGAATACAGGGAAAGTGCTAGCGGCAAGACTATGTTGGTTATATTTTAGTATTTTGTTTCAAAGATGTGCCAGAGGAGGAGGGGGAGGAATCATATAACTGCCTTTTACTGTGTATTTATCAGATGAGATCACGGCACTTACATACTTTGTACACCTCATGCTTACAAAGCACCATTAGTCACATTTTACAGCCAAGAAGCAGGCTCAAAAAGGCTAGAGTCAAACGACTCAGGGGTCACTTTGGGATCCAGTCCCAAGCCTATCCAGATCCAGCGCCTGAGATCTACGCTCGTTAGGGCATGGGCAAGGGCAGTCAGGCTGCTCAGAGAGAGATCGCATCCTCTGGGTTCTCGATCCTGCCTGGGTGCTGTGCTTCTAAAAAGGGATGCTGTTGGTTTGCGGGAGGGAGGGGGCATCAACTCATTGCGGGGCTCGTGCTCTTTCCGCAGATGAGGTCCCTCAGGTCACCGTGCAGCCTGCATCCACAGTCCAGAAGCTGGGAGGAACCGTGATCCTGGGCTGCGTGGTGGAACCTCCGTGGGTGAACATCACCTGGCGCCTGAACGGGAAGGAGCTGAACGGCTCAGATGATGCTCTGGGCGTCCTCCTCACGCGGGGGACCCTCGTCATCACTGCCCTCAACAACCACACCGTGGGGCGGTACCAGTGTGTGGCCCGGATGCCTGCGGGGGCTGTGGCCAGCGTGCCGGCCACAGTGACACTAGCCAGTGAGTTTCCACTCTGCTTGGTGTGGTCCCGCCTCCTCTCACCCACTCTCTTTCCACCCCCTGCCATTATTGTACCGTAAAAGCTGCCTTGATGGTTGCAATTTCAATTCAGAGGACAGTAGCTGCCCAGTAATCCCAGATGGTGGGGCACCATCCCGTCCTTGGGAAGCGTCACTCTGAGCAGGGGTGATGTCTAGAGTGAGCCTCTGCGGAGGGCAAACTGTCCTGGGGGCCCCAGAGCTGGGCCGCATCTCCCTCCTCACTGTGTCACCCTGTGTTTGGGGTGGAGTGTACCAGCTGTGCTCCCACCCCCTCCCGTGTCCCTCACCCATTCCCAGAGGTCACAGTCACGGTATTCGCCAGGGCCCGGTAACCACGTCTGCCCGCTCCTGACTTGGATCCTGGCTCTCTGTGAGGGACAAGCATTTTCCAATGCCTGGAATATAAATCAGAGAACATAATGGAAAGGAAACTGGGTGACAGAGGGACAAAGACAAGAGAAACAAGGAAGAGATTAAGTGACAGTTTGATACAAGACTTCACACCTTTTTTTTGAGTTTTACTTTAATTGTTATACTCAGTACGTGGTAGTTTGTTTTTTTTTTAATTGCTTATAGACTTCTTGTGCTATAAGAGCAGTGTCATGTTTGATCTCTATTTTTCCTGATCCTTTCCTTATAAAGGTAAGGTTCTTACCTTATAAAGGACATAGATCCTCAGGCTTATGTATGGAGACCAAGGGCCAAATGACTTCAAAGATCCCTCTTGACCAGCTCATTCTGGCTGGTTCCGTTTCCCCGCACTTCCTTCTAGGTTGTCCTCATGACTGCTCTTACTTCATTTATGCTTATGAAAGTGAGATATAGTTTTCACTTAAGTACGTATGAGGACCCAACGGAGTAAATCAGGGATCAAGTGACTCGACATAGTCTCAGTTTCAAGGAGCCTTACCCAGGACAGGTATTCTAGCTGCCATACTGTCCCGCTGGGCCCCTTCTGTGAAGCCTGGGAAAGTGGGCAGTCTGACATGCTGCCTTCATATGCAACTGCCACTTGTATGTACGATGTCCCAGGAGCAGGACATTGCATTATTTGACTTTCTTCCTATTATGCACAGAAAGACATGAGACTTAAAGGGTCAGTGGTGCTGAAGGCTGCAGAGTAGTCCTGATATTCATATAAGGGGTGCCTAGAGCCAGAATACACAAAGAATTGCCTCCGTTTGCCCCTTTTCTGGAGCCTGAAGAATAGGAAATAGGGAAACTCATTGAAATTTTAATGGAATTTAGATTTAAACTTTGGGAAGATTTCTCGGGCTTGTTCTTTCCTGACTTAGCAGTTTCCCTGTGTCGCTGTTCTGTGTCACCATCCCCATGGCCCTGGTGGAGCACATGCTTCTAGGAAGTTGGTTGTCCTGCGCCATCCCGTGTTATGGGTCCTATCTCAGGGAACAAACTTCTGAAAGGCACCTGAGGACAGTGGGGTGTGGTTCTGGGAGGAAAATAGTGAAGGATGGGGAAATACAAAAGCTAGGGAGTTCTCCTTGCCCTCTTGCGCTCTGGTCCCCAGAACCTTGAAGGGACTTCACTTGCTGGGAGAGTGGCGCAGACACTTCAAGGTGTACTCCTGTTCTCAGAGGAAATGGGCAGCCTGCCCTTTCCTAAGGGAGGGAGGGAGGCCGGCTGACCCTAAGCTGCATCTGGGAGTCCCCCGCAAAGTGGAGGCCACTTTACTTTTTGATAGAGGAGCACAGTTGAGTCTGAATGTAGGGTCTCTGGGCAGCAGACTGAGTGCTGTGGGCAGCGTGAGGGTCCCAGGCAGCCAGCTGGACCTTGCGCTCCATCTGGGTTGATGTGCATTTGTTTCGAGGGGACAGAGGCTGAGGTGGAGGTAGAAAAGAGGGTCATCTTGTCACATGCGAGGAAGGTCTGAGGTCAGAGGTACACTTCCTGTTGTCATGTACTTCCTACCTCTGCTTTTATATTTTTACATTATAAGTGCATCATAGACATTTTAGAACATATTTTAAAACGTCTCCCTTGAGCCTGCGGTCTTCACACAGCCAGCATTATTGTGGTGCACACCCTTCTGATCTTTATCCATACCCTCGTTTTTGCACTGTTGTAATGGTGCTACTGTACATACTTTCTATTCTTATTTTTCCCCATTGACATTGTATGATAAGTATTTGCCTTTTAATAATTTATTCCTCTTTAAATTAGTAGAAAATGAAGTCAGTAAAGTATACGAAGTGTATAATCCTAAGTGAAGAAACCAACACATTTCATGTGTACTCCATAGGCACATACATCGTGCCTCCTCCAAGGTAACCTGTGCTCCCACCCTCCGCAGAACATGATCATAATTACTAATGGCCCTAGCGCATCCCTCGCGTGGCTCTCCTATACTGTGCGGAAGTCATTTCCTACTGCTGAGCAATTCGTTCACTTCCGGTAGTATATTATGACAAATAAGATGTGCCTGGTGGCAACACTTTTGCCTTTAAAGGGTATTTAGGAGGGAGATTGCATCTGCAAATGGTCAGCACATGTCTGTGGAAGCTCAAAAATTCTATAGCCATTCATTTGACCTACTTAGGGGCCAGGCTGAACCCTTTATTGTTTGAGGAGAGCAGAGTTGGAGAGGGAAAGATTGGTTTCGGAGCTCTCCTTTTGCTTCAAGGTATACCTGTGTGAGGAAAGACAATTTATAGCCTTTATTTACAAAAAAAATTCCTGGCAACTGCCTTCTCTGGTGCTTGCAGGGATGTGTGGTTGGCAGAGGACAAAGGGAAGGGTTTGGTTGCAGCTTGGGAAGGCACAGAGAGAAGAGGCATGTGCAACAGTGGAGCTCATCTTGTGTGAAAGCCGAGAACTATTGGCTTGTCGTTTCCACGTGAAGCAGAAGCGAAGCGTTTGGGTCTGACCAGAAGGAAGGCGAAGTTCTGGAAAGGGCATGAACAGCCTGGTCAGGGGCTGTATTACACGGAGAGGGAGCTGGTGGAGTGGAACTGCAGCTGGAGGAGGCAGCGGCAGGGTGGTGGGAAGGCAGGTGGGGACAGCGAAAGCGGTGCTGTCTTTGGGTTAATGCCGCCAGGGTATTTGGCCTGGACTCAGCAATTAGATTAAGTTTCTAAAAGCACATTCCTGAGCAGAATAGAGGCTGTGTTTTGCTGGTTGGCTGGGGTACAGCAGGCTGCTCAGTAGATGGGATTAGGAAGGCGTGATGTACCTTTGGAGGAAAGGCTGGGCAGAGGCGTGCTGGTACGCAGACATACTCACCCACACTCAGCATTTAGGGCCTCTTCTTCCTCTGGCCTCTTCTGCGTGCCTTCAGGTGTTCTTCCCCGCACAAAGCAGTCGGTCTTTGGCCTGCTTGGCAATGTGCCGCTGCCTGGCCTACCTCCTAGAGACCACTCTCAACTTTAGGCAGTGGGGCCAAGGACCTGGCTTGGTTTCAGGGATAGGGGAAATTTCCAGAGATTTTTCCTAGCCCAGGCCTCTGTTACTCCAACGTTGGTAGCTGAAGATCCACTTAGATGTCACCCTGTCCTGGTGATACCAGCTTCTGGTTTTTGGTAAAATGGAGCCAGGAAGGAGAGCTACTTGGGTCTCACCTATGCAACTTCTCCCCTCTAGTATGGCGGTGTGCACCTTCACTCTGTGTGGGTGTCCCCATGTTGCTCTCCTCTGGAGAATTTTTTCTTCCTCTTAACATAAACTTTATTTTTGGTAATTTTTTCTTGCTCCTAAGGCCTCATTTCAGATCACCTTGAGTAATTCTTGCTTTTTGAAATCCTTATTATGACTTTGATCTCTTTCCTGCCACTTGGTTTTCTTTCTTTTCACAAGCTTTGCACTAGGCAGCCGCCTCCTCCATGTGGCTCTAATATTTCCATGGTGCTCCTGAACCAACAGCAGACACTAGCAGGGGCACCCCAATTCTGCCTTCGAGATTCTTCGAGATTCTTCAAGCACAACAAGTCCTCAGCAGGGCTCATCAGAGCTGGCATACAATATCAAAGCTGCTCTCTCCCCACCTCTAATACCCACCGTTTAAATAACCTCCACTGTAATCCTTACTTTTACCTTTTTCTAGCTTTTTACTAGTTCTCTCATTCTTCCCTCATCCATGGGCCCAGTTATGCTTGGAAATAAAATAATTGCTGAGTAGTTGCTTACTCATAATTCCAAACCTGGGAATTTTAACCTTCAGGCTGATGTGAAGGCTTACGTCGATGCTGATGTGAAGGCTTACGTCGATGCTGATGTAACAGCGACAAGATCTGTACTCCTCCATAAGGGTTAGGAGCGTGAAGACCAGGCATGTGCAACCCCAGTTACTCTTTGTTTGGCTTCAAAGATCAACAGGCAGAGGTTGACAGAAAAGAAAGGACTCCCCCTAGGGCGATATCTCCCTGACTCTGTGACCTTGAGAGAAGGTCAGAAGGGGACAAGGAACCTTTTGCTACCATAACTTAATTTAATCAAAGAGCCAAGTGGATATAATGGAAAAACAAGAAACTAAAATTTCATATCCTGGATTCAAGTCCTTGTTTTGCCATTTATGAGTTGCATGACTCTGGGGAAGTCACTTAATCTCTCAGATTACCACAGTATGAAATGAGTGCCATAGCCTACATCACTAGGCTCCTTAGGAAGAAGTGAGAGAACATACGACAGTAGTGTTCTAAAGCATGTTAAAAATTCCAGGGTTTATTTCTTGGCTCATTTGCTCAGAGAATTTGAGGAGCACTTCTCTGCAGAAGGCCCTGGGGGCTGTGTCTAGCCCGGTGCTGCCATCTCCATTCTGCGATGAGCTGCTAGGCAGCTATGAGTCGAGTGTGGCAGTGCTTCTTCTGCTCGTTACCAGAGCCGAGAAGGACTGGCTTGGCAGAAAAAGACAGCTAACCCACTTCCTGTGAACCTTCTGGTTCCTTGTACACATGGGTCTTTCCAACTCAAATTCCCACTTCCAGCTGCCTGAAGAGCAGCGACCTT